GACTGCTACAAGGCTGGTTGAGACCGCAATGCTTTTATAACCTGCAGCCACATAGCTGCTAGTAGTACTGTTCTGGGATACGTAGCATCGTTCTCGTTAGCCATTGGCTAAAACAGACTCAAAGTAAACATGTTCTATACTTTTGAGCTGAAGATGGTGCTCGACAGAATTTAGTTTTCTATGGAAATGCATCAAAATGCAAAAATAATGACTACATATGTCTACAACACTATTAGACACTCATTTATACTAGTTATCAGCAAAAAAAGTTGATTTTGATGTGACTTGCTTTTTTAAAGGCTTACGTCTCGGCCCGGCCGCTCCGGTCATCACAGGATGGTCGGCTAGCAGTGCCTACACCACGCTCAGGACAATCCAGACTCTTCTCATGCATCGTTCCACAAATGTGGAATGACCTTCCAAGCACTACCAGAACAGAAGCTTCCTTTTCAATTTTCAAGACACTCCTGAAGACCCTGCTCTTCAGAGAGCATCTTCTAAACTAGCACCTTCCCTGCACCCGTCCCCCCTCTCTACTGTCCACTCCTTGTTCCCTACTCTCCATGACTGATGTCAAGTTGTTGTTGTTATTGTTGTTGTTAGCCTCAAGGGCAACATGCCGATTTTCACTTGTAAGTCGCTTTGGACAAAAACGTCTACTAAATACATAAACATAAACATAAATTTGTTTATGTTTATGATTAAGCCATTTAAGTTCAGATTAAGCCAAGATGGCGCCCTTGATCGGCTGCGTGTCTGCTCGGCTCCCGACCTTTTTTGTTTTTCTTTTCTATTCTATGGTTTTTCTTTTCTATTTTATGGTTTCCTCGATATATAGTGTTGATTCTCTGCTGGCGTATGATCGGGACTTCCTGCTCTCGATCCGGTCTGGAATGGACAACCTCCAATATTCTACTGCGGGACCCGCTTTTCCACCGCCGCTGGAGACTGACGCTAACCTAACTTTAGGGCCCCATGCGTTCCCACCGCCGCTGGAGTCTGATATTAGCCAAGCCTTCAGGCTTGTGATGCCTGTTGGTTTGCCGCTGCCTCGGAGACCGTGGAGAAGGAAACGGGGGAAGCGAGGCGGCTTCTTCGTTCAGCTCCGAAGGATCCGGCGCGGCGAGGCCATATCGGAGCGCTGCTCCGTGACTGTGATGTGGCGGATCCAGCGTCATCTCAAACGTGTTGGGCCGATCTCGCTGCTACCGGGAGCACACGGAACTGAATGTTCCATGGTTGCGTCTGAAACGAGGATGTCCTGCCGGCTGGGAGCTCTCGGAGCGGGGAGCTGCATGAGCGTGCGGGATGTGAGGATGATTCGCCGGCCGGGTGCCCACGAGCTTTTCGGCTGCTCTCGTTCTGGCCGGCTCACTCAGCGGGGAAGAAATCCCGCCAACCTGCGGTATGTCGCAAGATCTGATGGAAACGGACTTTCTCTACAATCGGATACTCAGTCGACTCGCTTTGCGCTGATCAACGCCAGATCGGTTGTAAATAAAACTTTTATTTTAAAGGAATTCTTCCAGGACAATAGCCTGGATGTTTTATGCGCCACTGAATCATGGATCACCCCTGGGGATTCAGCCTCAATAGCTGAAGTGCTACCTCCTGGATGCTCCTTCATTAACATTCCAAGAGCACATCGCAGGGGCGGTGGCCTATTGACTATATTCAAATCAGATCTTATCTGCACACCGATTACCCCTCAATCAACTCCATTATCCTTTGAATTGAGCTTATTTGAATTGGGTCGTTCTCCTACATTATTATGTGCTCTCATTTACCGCCCACCACCTTACAATAAGGACTTTCTAAATGAATTAGCAGCTTTTCTGGCTGAAGCCTCCTGTAGATATGGAAAAATACTCTTGCTTGGTGATTTTAATATTCATATCTGCTGTCTTGACAAACCTTTGGTAAGGGATTTCCTAGATCTCATCGACTCTTTTAGCTTCTCCCAACGTGTTAGTGGGCCCACACATGGGCATACACACACACTTGACCTGGTTTTCTGTCATGAGCTGGAAATTTGTGATCTTGGCATTTTACCTGCAACTTTTTCTGATCACTCACCAGTTTTGTTTAACTTGAAATTCGACTGTGCCCCTCGTATTGAATATTTCCGTCCCAGCTTCTCTCGTGTAATCACACCCAATACTGCTGCAGATTTTGCAGCTGTTCTTACTCTGGACGCAGCTCCATATGATTCTACTGTTACGTCTTCTGTAGTTGAGGGATCACTTCGTGTGCTTGATTCATCCTGCCTGGCTGCTATGGATATTGTCGCTCCATTAAAATCAAGTCGAAAGAAATCCAAGTCAGACCCATGGCTGAATGAATAAACTCGTTCCATGAGACGAAACTGCAGGAGACTGGAACGTAAATGGATAAAAGACAGGCTTACTGTATCCTTTGAGGCCATGAGAGAGGCTTGGTCTCAGTACCAAAAAGCAGTCAGAGGAGCGAGAAATCGATTTTTTGCTAGCATTGTCACGGCTAATTCAAACAATCAACGTGTGTTATATAAAACCATAAATGCAGTGCTTTCCCCAGTTCAAAATCTATTTTCCTCTGTGTCCGCTGACTTGTGTAGCCAAGTCCTGCAGTTTTTCTTAAATAAGATTACTGTAATCAGAGCTCAGATTCACCAAACCAACCATGTTCCAGATTCATTTATCCCCTCTCACGGGCAACTTCAAAGCTTTCAGCCCATCTCTTTGGCCTGTCTAGAAAAAACTGTTGCAGCCATGAAACCCTCTGGCTCCCCAGATGATGTTATCCCACCTCGACTCCTGAAAGAGGTGTTTCCTTTAATTAGCAATAACGTGCTACGCATTATAAATAGTAGCTTGACATTGGCTGAAGTTCCTCGTGCCTTTAAACACGCTGTTCTACAACCAATCTTGAAAAAACCTGGCCTTGATCCCACCGATTACTCTAATCTACGACCAATTTCCAAATTACCGTTTTTATCTAAGGTCCTTGAGAAAATAGTGTATGAACAGTTGCTGAAACATCTAAATGAATATCAGGTAATGAACACCTGTCAGTCTGGTTTTAGACAACAGCACAGCACTGAAACTGCTCACGTTCGGGTGTTTAATGACATTTTTCTGGCTTTAGATTCAGGTTTCCATGTGGTTCTGGTACTTTTGGATCTATCTGCAGCATTCGACACGATCGATCATGACATTTTGATCACAAGACTTCACACTTGGGCTGGCATTTCAGGCACTGCCCTGGATTGGTTTAGGTCATACTTTTGTAACAGGTCTGCTAGGGTCATGCTGGATGGCTGTTCATCAGAATCACAGCCTCTACGTTGGGGTGTCCCACAAGGTTCAATTCTCGGCCCATTACTGTTCAACCTCTATATACTGCCCTTAGGAGCCATTTTCAGAAAGCACGCTGTCTCTTACCATCTTTACGCTGACGACTGTCAAATCTACTTTTCATTTAAGCCAACTCAATCAACGAAAGTTCTGTCTGATTGTATCCTTGAGGTCAAGCAATGGCTAGCTGACAACTTCCTCCATCTCGATGACTCCAAAACTGACTTAATCGTTTTCAGGCCTAACAGTACCACGGCAACTCAACAACCTGACCTCAACTATCTCTCACCTAATGTATCCTCTGTAATCTCCAACCGTGGAGTAAAAATGGACCAGGCTCTGAAGATGGATGTCCAGGTCAATAACACAGTTTAATCATGTTTTTACCACCTAAGACGCATCTCAAAACTAAAGCACATCCTGAGTGTCCGTCTTCTGAAATCGGTGGTCCACACTTTTATCACCTCAAGGCTGGATTACTCTAACTCCTGCTTATACGGCATCAGTAAAGCAGCTCTTTCAAGACTTCAGCTGGTCCAGAATTCAGCAGCTAGGTTGCTGACTGGAGCTGACAGAAGACAACACATTTCTCCAATTCTGAAATCTCTCCACTGGTTGCCCGTGCAGTTCAGGATAAACTTCAAAATTATGCTTCTCACTTACAAATCCTTGAACCATCAAGCTCCTCCATATCTGTGTGAACTTGTCCATTACTACAACCCGCCGCGTGCTCTCAGGTCTGAAGATAAGCTCCTCCTAGCTGTTCCCAATGCACGTTTAAAAAGCCGTGGAGAGAGGGCTTTCTCTGTCTGTGCACCGAAGCTGTGGAACGCATTACCACTGCTAGTGAGGCAAGCACCAACAGCTAGCATTTTTAAATCACGCCTGAAAACTCACTACTTCAACCTAGCTTATACAACATAATTATGAACCTCACTGACATCTGCACTGTTTATAAACTGACTCCACAATTATCGACTTCCGTATTATTGAGGTTCTTTGTAAAATGTTTTTTCCTATTTTTACTTCACCCTGTGTCTTATTGATTTTTAGCTGTTATTTTGGGGAATTTTGTTGTATTTCCTTTTTATCTTTAATCTGTGTTCGACATGTTTATAGAACGCCTGTTTAATTAACCAACATTTTTAGTGTACAGCGCCTTGTTTGGTTGTAAAGCCTTGTGAATGCACTTTATAAATAAAATTGGATTGGATTGGATTGGAAATGTCTCAGTGACTGCAGATTGAACATTTTTCTGTGTGAAGTCCCCGAGCCGCTTCGCTGGACTGTCGCTCACTGCATAACCTCTGTTCTACACAGTTCCTCTCACATCCAGTTATGTATTGGTTGTTCTGGATCAGTTGGCAGGGTTTGAAGACATCAAGCAAGAGACCAGTTTCAACATGATAATTTTACACAGAAATGGGAGTTTCACAAATAGACAATGTGACCCAAAGCACAAAAGTCATCCTTGTCTGTAAATTGCCTGTGCATGGCCCAAAGACGGGACCCATTCAGAAAGCTGCTCATTAGGTTTGTATTTCAGCTTCTTTAAAGAATGTTTCCCTTCTACAGAAGTACAGGTGGGGTGAAGAAACAAAATTCAGTATTTTTCAACAGACAAAAATCAAAGCAGCATTTTGAAACAATATGTGAACATGGTACCTGATAATATGGAGTACAGTAGATCTCTGAGGCATCAAGGCCACAGGTGGAGGAGGCGTGGAGAAGGTGAGAACGGCCCAGGAGGAGGTCTCTGCTGGGGGGGTAACATGCTCCAAGAGAGCAGTCATTCTGGGCTGAAGATGCCATCATCATCGCTGAGGAGAGGAAGAAACTTGGAGTTCATCACCACAGCAGCCTATGGTTCCAGTAGCTCCACTTTCTACTTAACCTTCTGGAAGCTGCACTTGGAGTTCAGTGTGACTGAACCCTACTGAGCACCATGTCCAGAAGTTGTTCTACAACATTCACACATGCTGAGTTTCACCTTAGAACACATTTTAATTACTTTTCTGTCAGTTTGGTAAAAGTAAAAAAAATAATAAAATTTTTCTGATTTGAAGCATTTTAGAAATTAACCTTTTTGCACACAGAAAAGTAATTTAGGCTGCAACAAGTTCCCCAGATAACAAATACCTAAAGATCTTGACGAGTCCAGATGCATGTCTGATAGTTTCCTGCCTGAAGATGTTGGTGAGACAAATATCTTGATATCTTTATATTTATCCTTTATCTCTTGCTTAAAGATCTAGAATCTTCATTTGTGTTTCAGTGTTTGGGTAGCTGGTGGATTTCTTTAGTTCCAGCAGCAGCCCACAGCAGATCCTGGCAGGTACACGGACTACAGCAGGACTGAGATCCCTCAGCGGCTAATTCGCCAAAAAACTAGGATCTGGAACGTTTCATTTGTGTTTGACTCAATCTTTTGTTTCCCCTAAACCACAACCTCGAGGCCACTAGGCAGGTTTCTGTAACACATCCTTTGATCCTCACAGCTCCAACAGCAACATGCACATGCACTACCGTTGTGAAGCTCAAGAACAAGTAGCTTCTGGCTGTCTCCTGCTTCTCAGCAGCAGATTCACAAAGGAAACTGTACAAATGACACAGTACAGCAAAGCCTCATGTGCACCGAGACGGAGTCAACCCTCTTTAGTGTCTGACTGCTGCACAGAAGGAAGTGAAACCGGTTGCATCCAATCACTGCCTCAGTGCCGCTCTCTCGGTCCTCAAGGCGACGCCTCTTTCAGAAGCGTTTTCCTAAAAGGAAGTGTGGATGAAATACATCTCCACCCATTCCTTGACTTCCACTTTACCTTTACAAGTTTATCTAGAACAGCCAGACATCCACCTCTAGAAGAGATGAGGAATTCTATTTTTAATAATGATAAAAATGTCTTTATTTGTCCCTCAGTGGGAAATTTCATCATTGCAATGATTCAGGTACAGCATGATAGCAGCTGTAGCACACAAGATATCACAGAAGAGTACATACGTAGCAATTTTAAATTAAGATCATTTTTGCATACAATAACGAGAAAAGTAGTGGTATTGCACACGTCTTGAAAGATGATGACATTTGTAGTGGAATTATATAATTCCTTTTTGTTACAACACATTTCCTGTAGTGAAGGTAAAAGTTCAGCAGAAAATTAATTCCTTGTTTAATTTTCCTGAGATTGAAACACTAGCCGCCCTGGGAGGCGATCGTTAAAGCACGTTGAAACCAGCTGTTCCTTTTGCTACAGCAGGAGTTTAAATAAACAGGGTTCAGCGGGGTAGGTTAGGGTTAGGTGCTGCAGTAACCAAATATTACTGGCCAACTTAAAAAGATGACTTTTTCATTGTCCTCATGGGTAAGGGGACTGTTGAGGTAGTGACTCGATGCAATCTGCTGGGTTCTTTAAGTGGGAAACGTTTAGGTAATCGCACTGACCCCAGCTGTGTTTCCATTACCAGAACTCCAGGGTAGTTCCTGGGATGTGGAAATTGACCAGGAGATAGGATGTCCCGGTCCTGTCAGCTGTTGTGTCTCCATTCAAATTCTATCATCTAAGTGTATCATGATTTAATCCACTAAGAGGACAAGAGCTGCTGTGTGATGTAAAATGGGGTGTTCAGGGACCAGAAGAAGTGCTGTTTTTTACAGCCTTTAACAAACCTGTTCATTGCATCTCTGGGGGAATTTTCCCATGTTTTCCGGTGTCGGGAGTTTTACAAATTTTAAGCTCTGTTGGATTTTATTTATTTTTTTGCTTGCATTCTGCTTCACCAGCAACTCTTCTAATTTTACTAATGCTGGTTGTTTTGGACATCTGCTGATGTAATTTCCTACTGAGTTACAACCAATCAGCGTAAGTTACCCAGAGGTTCCACTCAGCTGCTCCACCAGGCCGTTCGGAGTACCCAGACTACATGAGCTGGTACCCAAACGGTTCCTGAAAACGGCCCAGTCAGGTGGAGACAAGCATGTCAGGGGTTCCGGTAGTGGAAACACGACTACTGTTATTGTTTTGTAAATAAAATGAATTTAATTTAAACACTACTCGTTTCCCTCTTAAAGGCACAGAACCCATCCTCTAAAGTGGCTTTCTGTAGAAGGTTTTAGGAATGGCCTCTGCTTCCAGAAACACAGATCAGGTCTAATCTGGTTGATGAGCTAACAGTTAGTCAGGGTGAGGATGGCCTCACTTCCAAAGTGGATTTCTGCAGTTTTCAAAAAACTCTCCTTCAGGCTAATGCTTTTCACCAACCGTTGTTCATTTTACATGACTGTAATTTTGTCATAAACATTCTGACCAGACATGTCACAGACGGCTAGCTCATTGGCTAACTTTATCCCCAGGTAACCAGCAAATCTCACGTAAACAACCAAGTCAGACCAAACTGGATAAATTGCATTTCTTGCAGAAATGCTGTTTGAATGCTGGATGCTGAAACTGTAAGATGAAGCGGCTGAATAGCTGAGCTGAAGCTAAGCAAAGCTGTCAAAATTAGCTGAATGTATTTAAAGATTTAAAAGCAAAAATCACCAACAAGTGTAATAAAGTTCAAAAAGTAGGTGAAGGATGGAGAAAAATAATCCTAAATAGCAGAATGCTGAAATCTTTGAGCATAGTTTAAAAAAGGGACAGCTGAAATATCTAAACACCTGTTATTTCAGTAGGGCTAGTTTAGCAGTTACACTTTTACAACTAGATGAACTGTGAAATTAGAAGCACATGCTAAATTCTGAAACTGATTGCTGAAGCTGCTATATAGCTGAAGCAAATCTGTAGTTTTTGCTGTGAAAAAGGTTAAATGCTTCAAATAAACTAAAGATGTCCAAAAACATGAAGTTTAATAATGTAAAAGCTAAGCTGAAAACAAAAAATATGTAAACTGCCACATTTCTTATGGTGCAGGTGGCTGGAAAGCTACGAGTGGGGGGGGGGGGGGGGGGGGGGGGTGAATGAAATTGTGATAGAGCTTAAAGTAAATGAAACAACATTCAGCATTCAAACAATATTAAAGAGAAACAAGAATCTTCCTTCCTTCATTTTTATGTCCTTCCTTATTTCCGTCGTTCGTTCCTTCCTTATTTACTTACTTAGATCCTTCCTTACGTACTTACTGGCCGGTAATGAAAATCCTCATTTTCGAAGTCAATTGACAGGATTTTGTGAAAATTTTGAGAATATAAAGGATCTCTAATGTATTCCAACGGGACTAAAAAAATGCTGAAAAAGCTGAATATCGCAAAAAGTATTAAATATTTCAATACCAAAAGTCATAGCGCACGACAGCTGAATGAGCTGAATGTTTTGATGCCAAATTTGTTGAAATTGCTGAAGGATTGTGGAAGGAGTTTCCCCCTTTTAGAAAAGATGTGTGATTTGTCAGAAATCTGTAAAAGTGATTCTCTCATCATGTACTGTGATATAATGTAAGCCATACGTCTTTTTTTTGTTTTGCTAAGCATGCCCCCTACCCCGCAGAGCTCCGTGCAATAGGAAACTGAGAATCGACCAGAATTAACCAATAGCGTTAGACTACCGCTTACATTGCTCATATTTAAGGAATAACCTCAGGCTGATGCAGAGTTGATGAACTTTCCACGGACAAGTAAGTCTCTAAAAGGCAGGTAAAAAGCAGTAGCTCAACAGGTTGAGCGGGCTGTCCAGTAGTCTGAAGGTTGCAGGTTCGATCCCGGCTCCAGACAGAGAATTCTTCTGTTGTGTCCTTGGGCAAGACACTTAACCCACCTTGCCTGCTGGTGGTGGTCGGAGGGACCGGTGGCACCTGTGCTCGGCAGCCTCGCCTCTGTCAGTGCGCCCCATGGCAGCTGTGGCTACATCGTAGCTCATCACCATCAGTGTGTGAATGTGTGTGTGAATGGATGAATGATACACTGTAGTGTAAAGCGCTTTGGAGTCCTTACTCTGAGAGGCGCTATACAAGTGTGGGTCATTTATCACTTATTTAAAATATGAGTATAAGAGAGCACAACATGACATGAGAAGAACAGCTCTGTTTGTTGGCTACAGCAGCACATTTATAAACAGAAACGTGACATCGTCGTCTTAAAGAAAGGAAAGGAGAAACTATTTGTGTGATATGCTTTTCAGCCACTAGATGGTGCCATCGGATAAGAGAAATATTCTGGAAAGAGACTTTAAGTGCCAATAAAACCTACCTAATCTGAAACAGGACAATAGTTTGAATCCAGTCAAACAATAATAGAGAGAAACAAGAATCTTCCTTATTTCCTTCCTTATTATTTCTGTCATTCATTCCTTATATCATTTCTGCATTCCTTCCTTATTTCCTTACTTCCATCCATCCTTGCATCTTTTTCTCCTTACTTACATCCTTCCTCCCTCCCTTCCTTACATACTTACTGGCCAGTAATGACTAAACATGACTTACTGCTTAACAGCATTCCAACATTAAGTGCAGCGTAAGGGTTGGAATAAACAGCTGTCGCTAGCTGCTAGCTTATCAGTCTGGTCAAAATTAACAAGTGCAAAAATTTAAGTTCAGGTGAAAAGGGTGAGATAGTAACATTTCCACAAGATCACACACATGAAGAATCCTGTACCTGTGCCATCATTCAGTCCAAGGACTCTAACATCTGCTCTGGAATGCTGTTTTGTGTCAAATCAGACTTGACGGCACAATCAATGAGACAAAAGTTTAAAACAAATCTTACCAGCTAGAAGCAAAAAGATCCTCATGCTGGGTTCCTTCTGGAAAGATCTGGAAAACAAAAGAAATGGTCTGTTTATATGTATTTGTATTATGAGCCATGTCAAAATGTCCTTTCTGTCGCCCTTTGTTGGTTTCATCTTGATCAAGCCTGATTAACAGGCTGGATATCTGTCTGTCTGTCTGTCTGTCTGTCTGTCTGTCTGTCTGTCTGTCTGTCTGTCTGTCTATCTGTCTGTCTGTCTGTCTGTCTGTCTGTCTGTCTATCTGTCGGTCAAACAAAATGTCAGCAGACAACAACTGACTCCAAACCTACAGAGGGGTTCTGATGAGAAACTTACCTGAAAGCTTGAGCTCTTCAGGATCTGAAATTCTCCTGAATAAAGGTGTGAGCTGCTCCTGAATGCTGCTTTAAGGTGGTAGACCCACCTGGATAGAGTGATGAACAGTGTGTCAGAGTCACACCCTTCAACTCCACCACTCCCTTCAGTTATGAGTCAGTGCAGAGAGACAGGAGGTCTAAGAACTTCTCAAGTTTTAAATCTATAAAGTGTGTGTGTGTGTGTGTGTGTGTGTGTGTGTGTGTGTGTGTGTGTGTGTGTGTGTGTGTGTGTGTGTGTGTGTGTGTGTGTGTGTGTGTGTGTGTGTGTGTGTGTGCAAAAGAATATATGGAACGTTAAAGATCCCGGAGCGAGTGAAGGTCACAGGTCAGAGTGTTGAAATTTGTGAAAAAGAAAAACCAGCAAAGTGAACGCTGTCCACACATGTTTACACTAATGAGTCCACAATGTCACCAGACCAACACGTCTGTAATTACCGTTTTGATTTTATTCACATTGCTGCTAAACCACACAAAGTCAAAGGTCTGCTTCCATGTATGTCTGGTCCTTCTCCGGCTGCTGTTGTCTAACTGCTCCCTTACAGCTGGAATTACTGTCTGCACTATGGAAAGATGGAATTCCTTCAGCACCACCAAACATGTCCAAACAAAGCCAGACCTAAACACGTTTCTGTGAAACCAGAGATATTCTGAAGGTCTGGGATCAGTTTGCATGTCTGAATGACAGCAGGCTGTTGCGTAAACTCAGCTTCATTTAAAGAAACGGTGGCCTGAGGGCCAGTTAAACACTTCCTGTTAGCTCCTGCTGCAGACACTGACTCAAGCCTGATTTATACTAGAGGCACACGCCCCTGTGTGTCAGCGCAAGAGGTCTCCGACTGGCTCACAGAGGGTGACGGAGACACGCCCAACTTTTTAACTATCCATCAAAAGTGACAGAGACAGCAAGCTTGTGATTGGTCAGGATGCCACTTCCTGTAAATTCATCAACAGCACTGCTATTGCCCCATCAAAAGAATAAAAAGATATTTAGCGGCTGACACAGAAGTGATCCAGGAACTTCTCATATAAAAAGTCCCAAAATCTGAGCGTTTGTTAACCTGTGACTGAAGAAGTCTTACGAAACGCAGAAAGCGTTTCATTTGTGGACGGCAATAAGAAGAAACGTGAGCTTAAAGGTACCGATCGCATGAAGAGCTGGAGGAGAATGAGTGTTAAAAAGTCTCTGAAACAGATTAAAACAACGTGAACACAATAGTAAATGCACTAGGGGGCTGGATGAGTGACTGTCATGGTGGCAGGATAGTGCTACACCCTCTGGTGGGGAAGTGCTTCACAACATTCCCCAGCTACCGGTGAAGTCTAAGTTAAAACGTCTTCATCAACGTATGTGTGTCTCCCTCGCGGAGCTGAGAGAAAACTTTAAATGTGGCTTTAGACCAGGTACAGGGTATGCCTCCTGACTCCGAACACACACCAGCTTCAGCACACATGCAGATTCAGACACATTCTGTTCTACTCCCAGTCCCTTTGGATAGGTGATTCAGAGCTGCCTGCTGAGGGTTTCACTATGAGGCAGGTTCATAGCTGCTTTAATCAGGGCAAGGCAGCTTTATTTCTGTAGCACATTTCGTACACAGAGGGAATTCAATGTGCTTTCCAGGAGCAAGATCAGCAAGAACATTCAAATCAGCCCAACATTAAACAACAGATTTTAACGTTAAAATTAAAATACACATAAAATTAGCTGTAAGAATAATAAAAAGACAAAGTTAAAGGGTGAGCAGTTACAGTGCAGAAGGTGCAGTATAAGAACATTCATTCACAGGCTGATGAATACATGAAGGTTATTCATTTTGATTTAAAATTCACTAGAGTTGGGCAGCATAGTAGCTAAAAGCAGCTTCACCCTGTTTGGTTCTGACCCGGTTCTACCAGCTGACTGTTTCGAAGGATCTCAAAGCCCTGCTGGGCGTAGATACCTGAAGAAGATCTGACATGTTCTGTGGTCTCATGCCATTGAGTGATTTATAAACTAGTAGAAGTACTTTGAAAGGGATTCTGTAGTTTACTGTGTCAGTATGTGTTCAATACCTGTGCAATACCACATTTACATAGTATGTCTGTGTCCCTTACAGTATGCTGCATAGCTCTGGAACCCAAGTTTTTCATTTTTGTTGGTGGTTTTTAGTGGTTGAAGGTTACAATAGGAGTTTACTGCCTATGTATGTCTATACATGTACCTGTATTAGGGTTAGGGGAAAAGGTTTTTGTGCATGGACTCTCCTGTTGTGAATCCAAGGCATTTGCTTAAAAAAGTCACTTCGACCTTTTACCTTTGGCTCTGTATGGGGTCTCACCTTAGCCTGATGACAGCCAGATGACTGTAGCTTTATGTCACTGAGGTCAGGAAGCACACATCAGCTGAAATCTGCTACATCTACAGCTACAGCAGAGGTACGTCGTGTCCATTCTTTCCAGGGCAGGCTTCAGACTGACGCATAAGGTTTGTCTGGACAGACGGAAAATCTCCCGCCATTGCCCTAGCAACCCTAGCGCTTCTTGCAGCAGGAGCACATGTCAGTCCCCACTCTTTTCCCTCTCTGCCCTTCCGTGGACCCGACGTTGTGTGAAGTCCCCGGTAACAACAAAAAAACAATCACTCCATCCACGGACGCAGTGCATAACAGCTCCTAATTACATAAATGCTCCTACTCATTCTCTTTACAATATTGTCAATATGTGTAGTCCATGACATTGTTTGATCTAATGTTATGCCCAGTAGTTTGGTCTTTTTTACTTGTTCAATTTGTTGTCCCTGTTAGGGCTGCTGGATTATGGCAAAGGTAATAATCACGATTATTGTGACTGAAATTGAGATCTCGATTATTTGAGATGATTTTTCAATTTATGTTGATTTTATTTGTTTTTATTCAGTCATCAAATTGCTCAGGGCACAATCAGGACAAAAATAAACAAGAAACAAGATGATCACTAAAATAACTCCTGATTCCCAGTATAAAAAGACCAATATACTTATAGCTCATAGTCTATGACCCAAGGGCTATAGAGCTTGGTTTAACTCATTTAAGTCTAACCAGTACAGACCCAAATTCCAATATCTTGCAAATACTGACAGCAAGAATTATACAGTGGCATTTATAACAAATAAATGCAAATAAATTGATGTCCACAAAATGTTGTATAACATTTATTGAGTCACGTCAAGGTGCTGTAGGAGAGTGCACTAGCACCGTGTCCTCAGAGAGATTAGTTATTATTTATCAGCGTGAGGAACTTATTTCTACCTTATTTATAAACTATTTATTTACAGGTCCATCAGTTAATGTCAAGGCCGGATTAACCATACAGGCAACTGGGCAATTGCCCAGGGCCCACGAGCTCTAAAGGGCCCAGGGCAGCAAGGGCACGAGCAAAATACTGTATCTGTAATCTCCCACTTTATATTAAACTAGGGTGACCATCCGGTTTTCCCCGGACATGTCCACTTTTCACTCTCTGTCCGGGACGTCCGGACTGGGGGGTTCTTGCATTGATGAAAATGTCCGGCTTTTCATCCAGGAGCAGGGATCGAATTATGGGGGAGCTGTATATCCTACACATCCAGGGGAGCTGGAAAAAAGTTTTCTACCTATATTACATCATTTATGGACTCTTCTGAGCAGAGAGCACAGAGAGCGGCACAGCGCTGATCGTTGTTGCGCAGCGCTCCAGGCTGCTGCGTCCAGCGCACGGTTCATTCTCAAAGTGAAAACTATAATTAGCACACGATCGTTCACGTCCGCACATGTTCTCTATTTTCTGTCTTATTTGTGCCTGAAGGGCTCTGCTACTGCGGAGCTCATCACCTGTGCTGCGGTGATGTCACCTCACTGACGCAGCATCGAAACGCGCTCTCCACTTTGTGGTCAGGAGATCCCTTTGATCTGCTCAGAAGTAACTGATGAGGTGAAAAGGTAAGAATCCAGGCAGCAGTTTTTCTGGAGAGTTTAGAGGAGATGCAGGAAGATGAGAGACAGACAGGACAGGAAAATAGTTCAATAAAAACAAGAAAACAAAGTAAAATGTAGGTAGATTTATCTCCACTACACGTTTTTACCTGTATAAAACAACAAGTTATACACGTGTCATATTTATACATCTGATACAATTCAGATCACCTTCAAAACTCAGTCATACAGCCAGGGCCGTTTCAAGGCATTTTGGGGGCCAAGGTAAAACAGAACACCCCCCACCGCTATAACTGGGCTCCCCAGAAGCCTCTGTGTAATCCATACCCTCTCCAGTAGTGTTAGTTATACAGTGTTTATAAAAGCCCTTCAGACATTACTGACATGTTCTAATATTATCAGATGAAAAACTAAATGATCAGACACGCTGTCTGCTGCTTTTCTAAACTTGCAAAAAGTAACAAAACCATTTGAAAGCCACTATTTGTGGATTCTCTGAAAGTTTTTTTTCTTTCTTTCTTTATTGAACATGCATGCAAATCAATAGACAACCCAAAGCATTCAAAAAGTATCCAAAAAGAAACCCACACATATATATATATATATATATATATATATATATATATATATATATATATATATATATATATATATATATATATATATATATATATATATATGTAGAACATGTTCAATGGGAAGGGAACGAAGCTCTGGTAGCTTATATAATCCCCCCCAAATCAAATTTCAAGAAAGATAAAACAAAAAATTTATATATTTTCCCTACACTGAGTGTCATTGCCATTTTCCTATAACATGTTTTATCCTCAATCACACAAACAAAATTTACATTTTCTTATGTTTCACCCCCCCCCCCCCTCCCCCCATGTTCACTGCTCCCAGTTCACCAACAATAGACAATTACAATCAAATGCAACGCCCTTACAACTTTTCCTCCTCCTCCATGTAATTGATTAGTATATTTGGCAATAATTTCCTATGCACTTTAAACATGAATGTCGCTGTATATAGTTGAAGTAAATCTTTAAATTTTAGTATTTTAGAATATATAAATAACGGATTAGTGTGTTCTCTAAATCTAACATTGTGAATGACTCTCAGGGCTCTTTTCTGTATGATAGACAAGGGTACAATAGATGTTTTATAAGTGTTACCCCATACCT